GCCAATAACACAGGGGCTCTCTCTCCCTACAGCTGCAAGAGGGGCAAGATGCTAGTATTTCTCATCCCCTGAGGCCCTGTGTTGAGGAAATTCTATTCTGGGGGACCTAACGAAGATGACCGAGACCCCCTTTTTACTGCACCCTCACTCATACAGCAGAAGCTCTGGTCCACGTGCAGCCGGCTGAGAATGCTGGGGGTTTCATGCTGTCAGGGAGGACGGACCAACTAAGGATAGCAAGGCTATCCCACGCTCCAGTACCCACTAGTGGAGCAGATGTCTGTCCCCATCTCTGGCTCCTGTGCAGCGCTGCACAGGTTCTGCCGAGGGAAAAGCAGGCAGTAAGGATAAAGAGCCCACGGTTTGGCCTGAGGGGCTACTTTTATCTAGAACAGAATGTGGAGAATTCTATATACAGTAGGTCCTCGGGCTACATTGGAGATCCGTTCCTGCAGCGCGACAGAACGCGATTTTCGCCGTAAGTCGGAGCCCCTACATAAGCACCTACGTCACTCACACGGAGCACATGCACAGCAGTAATGAAGTGAACCAAAAAAAATTTAAAAGAAAGATAACGATTCCTGACCTTTACTTGTGGTAAATAAATAATAAAAACATAAAGCACATATGTGCATATGTCGAAATGATGGAACTTTTTTTTAATAAATAAATGGGAGATGGCGGCGTAACCATGAAACGACGTACGTCGAGTCCGACGTAACTGAGGACGGTCAGTACCAGGAAGTTGCTGAAAACAATGGAAAGCTTGGGGGAGAGCAAGTAAAAGGGTGCCCCTAACTCCCTGGTGCTGGGGACAGCAAGCAAAGGGTAGAATAGCAGAAATTTTACCAGAGAAGTGAGTAAAGTGACAGCCAGGAAGAGTCCTCTTGAGGTCATAGTCCACTCTGGGGATCAGGAAGGTTGTGTGCAAGTGCCAGGCTGTACCCCCCAGGAGCAACAGGAGCAATCAGCACATGCCAGTCAGACTCGAAAACCTCCAGCCCACACACGGGTTCATCAGCAAAGGGGAGCGCCTAGCTGTCACAAAGGGCTTACTCACACTCCGACCAAATACGGGGACAGGCAACTCTCAGAAATCCAGGCTCAAAATTAAATCACAAATTTCATGTGACTATGGCTGTGCCCTCTCTGGAGTTATTTAGAGAAGAAATATCCAAGTTACTAGTTCCTGGCTGAAGGTGGAGGGAATCATGGTAGAAGTCTCCAAGTTCTCTCTCTCTCTCTCTCTCTCTCTCTCTCTCTCTCACACACACACACACACACATTCTCACCCGAGGATATTTTTCCATTGCTCTTAGGTAGAGTAGAACAGGGGGAGAGGGGTAGAGAGAAATATTGATGTGAGACACATTATTTGGTTGCCTCCCACACATGCCCCTACTAGGCCAGGGATCAAGCCTGCAACTGAGGTACATGACCTTGAATGGGACTAGAAACCAACAGCCTTTGGCTGACACTGTAATCACTGATAAAAACTGGCCAGGGCACTGTGAGGACATATTTAAAGTGTTGAAAGTTGACCCAAAATGTAAAATTTTTTTAAAAAATATATTTATTGATTTTTTACAGAGAGGAAGGGAGAGGGATAGAGAGTTAGAAACATCGATGAGAGAGAAATATCGATCAGCTGCCTCCTGCACACCTCCTACTGGGGATGTGCCTGCAACCCAGGTACATGCCCTTGACCGGAATCGAACCTGGGACCTTTCAGTCCGCAGGTCGATGCTCTATCCACTGAGCCAAACCAGTTTTGGCCAAAATGTAAAAATATTATACAGTTAACCAAAAGCATTATGTCCAGCAAAACTATCTTTCTAAACTAAATGAAAAAAAGACACTCCCAGACAAACAAAATCTGAGAGAACTAATTAGCAGAAGATCTGCCTAACAAGAAATACTAAAGGAAGTTCTTCAGGCTCTGACAATAATAGCACAAGAGAGGCAGTTGGGAACAAAGCTATTTTGAAGTAAAGACATGACACCAGATGGTAACTTGAACCTAGAGGAGAAAATGAAATGGCAGATAAGAAAGTTAACACAGCAAATGATAAATATATACTTGGTATATTTTCTTCCCTCAGCTTCTTTAAAAGACATTAAGATTGTAAAAGGTATAATTACAACAGTGTATTATTGGGTTTATTGCATATATAGACCCATAACAATAATGCCACAAAAAAGTGGGGCAGAATGGAGACATATAAAAGTAACCGTTCTCTGTTTCAACGGAATTAAAGTTAGTATAGAGGTAAACTAAATTTTGATATTTTAAAGTGCATATTGTAATCCCTAAGACAATCACTAAGAAAACCATTCTAAATGTAATTAAAAACTTGTTAAATGAATCAATAGTTTTAAAATTAATTTCAGAGAGGAAGGGAGAGGGAGAGAGAGAGAGATAGAAACATCAATGATGAAAAAGAATCATTGATTGGATGCCTCCTGCATGACCCCTACTGTGGATCAAGCGCACAACCCGGGCATGTGCCCTGACCAGGAATCTAAGCATGACCTCCTAGTTCATAGGTTGATGCTCAACCACTGAGCCACATGGGTCAGGAATATAAATCAAATTTTTACTAGAAAATATGTACTAGAAAATATGTACTTAATATAAAAGAAGGCAGTAAAGAAGGAGCAGCAATCAGGGCTCAACTACAACAAGACTGTTCACCCAGCCCACCCAGGGGCTCACTTAGAGTGACCAGCTCAGGTGACTGGGGAGGCTGAGCCACAGGGTCCTACAGAACGCCTACTGCACAAGGTCACTCTACCAATTCCAGGAGACATAGCAGCTCTACCTAATACATAGAAACAAACACAGGGAAGCAGCCAAATTGCAGAGACAAAGAAACATGTCACAAATGAAAGAAATGGAAGCTACACACTAGCATCTGAAATTAAGTTTTAGAGAAAGCTATGTGAGATGATAGGTAGGTTAATTAACTTGACTGTGGAAATCTTTTCACAATGTATATGTATATCAAATCATCACATTGTACACTTAAATAGATATAACTTATTTGTCAATTAGAACTCAACTAGAGGCCCAGTGCACGAATTCATGCACGGGTGGGGTCCTTCCAGCCGGCCCAGTTCCAATTGGGGTGGATTGGGGCTGGGCCTGTCAGGAGAAGGAGATGGTGGGAGGTTGGCTGGCTGGCCCCACCCCCTATTGGGGGAGGGGTATAATCAGGAGTGGGGCCAGTGGGAGGTGTAAAGGCTGCAGGGGGGTTGGCCGGCCATCCTGCCCCCGATTGGGGTGAAGAGAGAACAATCAGGGGTGGGGCCGACCAGGGGGAGGGGCTGCAGGAGGTTGGCTGGTGGGGGGTTCGCTGGTCACAGTGGGTGTCATAGCAACTGGTCATTCTGGTTGTCATGGCATTACAGGTGCTGATTTTTTATATATATAACTAAAGCTGGGAAACAGAAAACCATTCCATTTACAAAACCATAAAAAAGAATAAACTACTTAGAAATAATTTTAACAAAAGAAGCGTAAGACTTGCACATAGGATACTATAAAACATTATTGAAAGAAATTAAAGATCTATATAAAAGGAAGGGCACCCCATAGTCATGGATTGGATTTAACATTGTCAAGATGTGAATACCCACAATGTGATCTAGAACAAGCATGTCAAACGCAAAGGCTAACACGGGCCAAATAAACAAGGTTTACATTTATGTGGCCGCAAAAAACCACAAGCTTCAATTTTCATAGAAACGTAGGTTTATTTCAAAAAGTGTAGTATAAAATAGAACAAGAGCAACGATAAAATTAATGTTTTCTCACATACCGTTATATTGGCTATGCCACAAAAATATTCATTGTAGGCTGCATGCAGCCAGTGGGCTGTGAGTTTGACATGCTTGCTCTAGAGAGTCAATTAAATTTCCAGGTTGAGAACCGCTGTTTTAGACAGAGTGGAAGAGAGAGGGAAAGACAGAGAAAAACATCAATGTGAGAGAAACACATTGATTGGTTGCCTCTTGCACATGCCCTGACCAGGGCTTGGGCTGGGAGGAGCCTGCAACCAAGGTACGTGCCCTTGTCCGGAATGGAACCTGAGACCCTTTGGTCCGCAGGCCAATGCTCTCTATGCACTGAACCAAACTGGCTAGGGCTTAGCATAACGTTTTTTAAGATTCATTCATGTTAAGTGGAATTAACAGAATTTCTCTCAGGATCAGTGTGATCACTGAAGCAAATGATGGGAGAAGTGCTCTTCAGATTACCAGTTACCCGATTCAGTGTTGAGTGCACTTCTCTGCTGCCGTGGGGGCCTCACAGTGAGACAACCCCAAAGTGAGGAAGCACGAGGAGACACCGCCCAGATTTCCTCCGGGGCAAGGCCCGTGCAGACCCACTTAACGGGGGAAACTGAGGCCCCAGAGGTGAAAAGGGTTGGCCAAGGCCAGTCGGCATGCTAGTGGAAGATTTAGTGAGTCCCAGCCAGTGTTCTTTCTATTCCAATCACTGCTGCACATCTACAAGATGTGTGGTCTGCCTTCTGCGGAGAAAGGGAGCCAGGCCACTCTCGGGTCAGCCCTGTTCGCTCTCAGCAGGGATGAGGGCCGCCTCGGCCGCTGTGAGGGCCGCAGTGGGTAGGATGTGGCTGTCTCGGCCTGAGACTCAAATGGAGACACCTGTGTCCACCTGCACATGAGGAGGGGCCATTTCCTGCTTGGTCCAGTGACAGAGGTAAGGGCTCTGATCTACTTAACGATCTCATCTCAGCCTTCTTTGCTTTCCCAGCAACAAGAGAGTTTGAAAACTTCACTTTGCTAATCTCGGTAAGATCAGAATCATTCGGGCCTCTGTGGATATGAGTAAGTGCCCACACATCCTGGGCCTTCAGAGCAGACTCTCCCTTAACTGGGAGGCACCGGGAAGCCCCGATGGCTCAGTCCCATGCACATCACATCACCTGGAACTCCCGTGCCCCCACTGCTAAGAACAGCCGAAACAATGCTCGTGGGCGTAAGAAATGTTTATTCACATTCCCCTCCGGGTGTGCTTCTTGCACGTGACCTGGCCACCTACCCAGCTCTGCTGCCCGGACTTCGGGAATGGAGTGGGAGCACTGGGTCCGCAGAGGCCACCTGCATCGCGCTGGGCTCATCACCACCCTTCTCACAGGGCAGGCGCAGGGCCCAGCTTCCCCTGATTTGGGCTCCCATCTAGGCCACCTCCCCATTGGGAACTGGGCACAGCTCCCCTCCCCATACCCACATTCCATGTCATTCACTCTCCTCTGACTGACTCAAATCCTGAAGTCCCTCCTCTTGCAGTTAAAGCAACAGCTCCACTACTTCCACCACGGAGGGCTTGTGGAAATGTTTGTCTTTTTTTCCACTTGGTTTTACACAAGAGGTGAGTTATTACAGGAAGAGATCCGCTTATTTGGGACATTTGGTGCCAAACTGATCCTAGCTTGGCTATTTCCATACATTTGCAAACTAACCTGTAAGCAGTGGAGGGGAGGGGGAAGGGAGTTTGAAAATCATACAAGAAAGAGCACATCTCTTCTCTGGACCGTAGAGCACGTGGTCCGAGGCAGGCTCTGTGGAGCCGTGGCTGCTCACACAGACGAACTTGGGAGCCGTTACCTCTCTCTGGGTTGCTCGTTAATTGAGATGGTCCAAGAAGAAGAGTGTGTTTGCTCTCCTTGCAACAATCCCATGGGCCCAAGGACACTTTTTAGAAATGAAAGCCGTATTGCAAATCCTTAACTAAGGATTATCTGGCTAATGTCTTTGCTCCATCTGGGTTGACTGTCACTTCCATGGCTTGTAGAGAGCTGGTCCCCCTACCCATACCCATGTTCCATGTCACTCACTCTCCTCTGACTGACTCAAATCCTGAAGTGCCTCCTCTTGGGGGGAGTACTGCTCCTGCCAGCCCTCCCCTCCCCTTTTAAACCTGTCTCTACCCCCTGTTCTGCTGCCGGGCACCTCCGTGTACAGAGCCACTTCTCTGTGCTGCGTGTCTCAGGGCACAGCCTCTGGCCCTTGTGTGCAGCGGGCGCGGCCTCCTGCAGCGGCTTTCACTGCAAAGGTGTCGATGGCTTCCGGGATCTTTTTGTTCACACCATCTACTGGGCCCTTGGCAAGGTTGGTGTGGTGGCCATGCAGAGAGCCCTCAGCGGTGCGCTTGGAGTGAGCACCACCACCCGGCTGGCTGCTTCCCGGAGAGGCTCTGTGACGCCTGCGCCCAGCGCCAGCCCAGAGCAGAGGACACAGGCCGCTGCTGGGCACTGCTCTCTGCCTCCAGGGCCTGCGGCCTGGCCTTCCCTCCCCATCCCCCAATCTCAGTTCAGGGTTGGGGCTTATGGTGCCTTCAACAACTGCCTGTGGACATGGCTAAGTTGCCAGCACATCCTTGGCCTTCAGAGCTGGGTGATGAGTCCGGGGGCTTGCTGAGTGCTGGGCGCTGTGTCCGGAGCAGCAGGAGCCTGGTGGCTCCTCCTGGGGCCGAGGCAGCCTGTGGGAAGCGGGAGTGATGGTCGCATTGGGAAAAGCACAAGGATTTCCTCACTCTGTGTCCAGGAGGAAGGACCTATGCCAGCACGGCTTCGTTTGCACCCCATCATGTCACTCGATGGCCCCGGGGGCCCAGCGGAGGATGCCTGGTCACCCCTGGAAGAGCCGGCCTTCCTAAGACCGGGCTCCCCGAGGGCCATGCTGTGAGGGAGCTCCAGGCAGGGCCATCAGTCTGCGCAGACCCTTGCCGAGCGTGTCCCCAGCTGGAGCCCGCAGCTCAGAAGAGGCTGCTGCCCGAGAGAGAAGACAGGAAGGATGGAGCCTGCGGGGGAGGGATGATGGGGGTGGTGTCCGAGCTGGCTTCCTCGGGCTCCGGCTCGCTGTCCTCGCTGTCCAGGCCGGCGGCGAGGGCGGGGATGATCCTGGCCGCACTGTCTGCAAAGCGCACCTGCTTCTTCGGCAGTGAGGCAGCTGGCTCCAGAGTCAGCTCGGTGGGGGCCTCCGGGCGCTGGGAGGCGCTGGGCTTCCTGGGCCCCTTCAGGATGCACCTCATGTGGGCGAGGAGGGAGCCGGGCCCCTGCCTGAGGGCTCCGTGGAAGGTGTAGGTTTGCTCGGTGTCCCCGGAGCCGGTGGTGCTCCTGGCGCTGCTGGAGGGGTCCGTGTACTGCTCCTGGGCGGCCAGCACTGCGGACGCGGCCCTGCTCTTCTTCCGCTTGCTGAGCAGGAAGTAGGCCAGGCCAGTGAGGACCAGCATGGAGCCTGGAAGAGAGCTGGGCGGTCAGGGCACTGGAAGTGTCATCGAGAGAAGCCCGAGGCTGCCCAAGCCCACGGTTTCCGAAGGCCACGGCACACACCTGTGTGGCCACTCAGGCTGCTGTGCTCCAGCCCTCACACCTCACTTCCCCTCACAGCACAGCAGGCCCGGGGGTGGCCTGATGCCGTGCAGGGGTCCTGCCCCTGCCCGTGAGCTAGGGCACCCTGTGCCCGAGGCTCTCTTCCTGGTGACAGCCCCCCTGGTGCTGCCGGAGCAGCCTTCACCGCCGCACTCAGCCTCTCTCACTACAGCCTATTGGAC